ATGGTTTTTCCCATGCGCCACAGCCAAGAAGTTCAATACACCGTGGTCTTGGGTCCATCTTGAGAACAATCTTATCATGATGTGGCCACAATTTCTTGACGATTTGTTTACGATTTCCTTCGGATTCTTCATCTTGTGGCTGTTCCAGACTTTTTTTTGTTTAGGGGCTTTTGGGGCAAAACTGATCCTTCACAATTTCTTTAACGATTTCGTGGGCTTCGATTCGGGGTTTTCATCACGTTTTCGGGTCCCGTGACGTCGAATTCGGCGCAGCAAGTTTCGTCGGTTTTGCCACCAACAATATCTATTTAATTTTGTAGTAATTATCATAAAATTGTTACCTATCGATCGTTATCTAAAAAATAGTCATTAATAAATTTTATTATATTGATTTGATTTACATAGTGCATCGATCAACATGTTTCATGTTTTATTCGATTGTCTATATAGTAGGCTAAATTTAATTAATATGCCTAGGATTATCTATTGAAATGTGGCTGGTTAGGTGTAAATTTGCAGAAGCAAGGAGCAAAATTTATTCTAGATTACTAGAATGTTAGCTAATTTATCAATTATTTTATACTATGTAATGATAAATTCCTTAAATGAATAAATATTATGAATACCTATATATTTAGGCTGACACTTCAGGTACCTTTATTTGGCTTAATTGAAATCATTAAAGAAACCAGAAATGAAATTTTACAAGAAAATTTTTGTTCTACTTAATATATAACTTCAGATAAAACTATTTATATATTATAAAAACGGATATTTTTTTAAAGAACGTTACAAAGCGAAAAGATATGCATAAATAATGAAGTGAAAGTTTATACATTCGCCATTTTGCTGTACACACAAATAATGTATTATAAATAAACAATTGTGTAAACCTTAACAGTCAATAAAAAAAAAATCCTAATACCATATAAAAAGTAAAAAATGTACCAGTCACCAATACTTGATAACGCCTATAATACGAAAGCAGTTTAATGATATGTTAGTCCGAAGTGATATCTAAACATTTGATGCAAGTATTTTAGAAAGAGACAAGATAAATTGAATTCACAATCAAAGAATAAGCCCACCTTTTGTAATTCCATTTTTATAAAAACGACCAGCTTCAAATTTTCCTTTATCACATCCTACTTCAGTGGATTTTTGAAAGTAAACGGATGCCCTGTGTTGATATTCAACTCTGAGTCTATTTGTATAATAAAGATTTCCTGTGTTCTCTCCAAGAACGTAGCTCATCTTGACATATTTTCGAAAAAGGATAAATATTTTATTTTCATCCTTTTTAGCTTCAAACGTATCTTGATAACAGGAGCCAGTTTGAAACATTTTATCATCATAACCCATGGCAGCAGGTTTTTGGTAATAAATAGTTGACCAGCATTCATTTTTTTTTAACTTCAGTTAGGCATTTATAAATAAAGGAATATGTAAATAAAATTAATATTTTCAGAAATAAGTATCATCAAAGGAAAACCTGTCACCGGGCTTTCAATTATATTTTGTACCGGACATAATCTATTTAACTAATTAGGAACTAATTAGGGATTGTGTCCGGTACAAAATATAATTGAAAACCTGATAACAGGTTTTCCCTTGGCGGCACTCAAACACAATAATTAATAATAATAGTATCACTCGCCACTTGACTAAGGGTGTTCTCAAGACCTCAATCAATGGATTGGAGGCAAGGTTTAATTAGTCAGAAATTGAATAAACCAACCAAGTGAATTACCAGTTCGATGAATAAAACCTGAAGATGCAGACCAAATTTTTTTTTCATAGAGTTGCTCTGATTGGTTGAAATTTAGAATCTGCATTTCGCTACAATGAATTTTTAACAAGTCGTTCTTCGATTAACCACATTGATCAGTCTATTAATCGTGATGATTTGAGCAATATCTCGGTCACTAGCTAATTAATTAAGGGAGCTGCTTGAGAACACCCTAATTCTCTCAATACTAACTTTGCAACAATAAGGTATTGTAAAATAATCTTGTCGAAGGGCAGGCAACGTTGTTTTGTTTTGATATTTTATTTTCAAGTTTAAACGAAGATTTCAAATAGAAAGAGATCCATTGATCCGAATTTCCCACTATTGATAAAAAAAATAATAAATAAAATAAGTATGCAAGACAAGTTAAATAAACGTGTGTACTAATTGAAAATGTGTCAAAACTTGATCTGTACATCTCTGAATCCGTCCTTATGAGACATAAATTTATTAATATAAAAGAAATAAAAAATACTGTAGTATAGGAAAAGTAAATATGTGAGATCTTTGTTAAATGAATTAATTTTGGATGGTGAATCATATGACTCGAACCTTGATTTTCAGCATTAGTAAAGATTCTATATATTTTTGTTACATGGGTAAAAAAACCTTGGAGCGATTGATAACACATTGTTATGAAACTTACTTGATAACCTTTCAAAACTCTTTTATGTCGCAGAAAATTTGATATATGTGTGACGGAAAGGGAAAATCTGTAAATCAAATCACTAACTTCCATTGTGACGAACTTTGTCACCGAAGAAGAATCTGATCCAGCAATGATTACATATGATCAAATATGTATGCAGCTAAACGGTCTAGTCGCTATTGAATCGACTTGTAATCATTGCTAGACCAGATTCTTCGGGAGATAAGTTCATCGAAGTAAAAGTTAGTGATTTGATTTACAGGTTTTCCCTTTCTGTCACTCGTCATACTCATTTCATTAACATCGCTTTTTTCAATCTTTTTTTTTAGTTTATCGTCATTCGATCTTAATGCAATTTTATCTGATACGAAAAATAAAATTTATAAATAATTGAAATCAGATAAATCTGCAGTAATGGTAACAATATGACAAGAAGTTGCAAAGAAAATGCATATAAGCAAGAAATAATATTTACAATTTTAATCGCATATCTGGATCATACATTCTATAACAAAAGATACTATAATTCCATTCAAGTCTTTAAATAATAAAGACCTTTGTAAAGATAATGCATTTTATAAGATGCGAGGAATAAGTTATATCAACTTTTCTCATAAGCCTGTAAAAGTGTATAAACATCACACTAATGTAGCTTATTTTTCATCAAAATACTTCAAAATTAAAATTATAATACCCTTAAAAAATTTAAAAAGTCAATTGAAATTTTACTTCGAGTAAATCGATTATCTATAATGCTAACATGTGAATATAATTCAACTTGTTGATAACCAGTTGAATTTGAGCATTAACGGGTTATAAAACACGTTTAAACACGTTTATCGATGGCGTCAAAAAACTTTATTCTGTAATTACCAAAATGGTATGTGAAGAAGAAAGTAATTATCCGGAAAATCCTAATATAATTTTAAAAGATGTTTCTCAAACATATAAGTATCTCATAATTAAAGAAGGTGTATATCCACCAAAACATAAACTTAAATATACTCGACATCCTGCAAAACATCCTATACCACATAATTATATTGTTCGAACTATGTATTCAAAAAAAAATTATGTTGTTGAGTGCTCGGTATATTATGTTGATAATAAACCATTATATCAAATACATTTTGGAAAGTATTTAGAAAAATTTGTAGAGTCAGATAGGTCGACTTCTCATGCTGCACATTTATATTGTAAGGTAAAATAAAAAATAAATATATACGTATATTAAAGATTATATTATATTTTAAAAGTTAATATTATATGAGTTAAATATAGGCATTGTCTGAAGACATTCCAAATAAAAGTAAGCTCTCCGGACCTCTTCTTTTTGGCTTACGATGTAAAAGTGTAGAGGCTGTTCACAAGACAATACCGTCAAATGAGTTTGTACAAATAAAACCATTTGATAATTATAGTGCATCAACACAATGAAAACACATATTAGGTTTAGGAAAACAGTTACAAGAATCCATAGAAGAAGAAAAAGAGAATTTTTTTCATCCAAATGATAACATTGTTCTTAAGCAGGTCAAATTTGAAATTAACGATTGTGCATATAATATCAATTATGGAAAGATTGATAAACAATTAGTCGAACTACAAACCCAAGCTATTGTAAAGTCAATTGATCGTGGTCAAATTTCTCAAGAGGCGTATAGATCTTTGGCTAGAATCGATGAATCACTAATTAGAGCTGGAGCAGTTTATGATATGAGGCAAGAAATCACACGTAGAGTAAATGAAAAAATTCCCATTAGTTTAGTTGATATTGACCAACCAACCATTTTTGAGCCAATTACTGAAGAGCCTGATATTACTGATCCAACCATAGTTTTTAATGTCGTTACAACTATCGGAAAAGGTGGACACCGACGAATTACTGATATACTTAATTACATAATTCCGTTGTATGTTCAAAAAGAGGTTTTAAAACCTGGCTCTACTTTGCATTTACGAATATCCGGAGATGGACGAAATGTCGGCAAAAAAGTGAAGCATGTTATGTTAACTGTTGCACTTTTGAACAATTTGGACAAATTGCATAAACCTGAATCACATTATACGTTAGTTCTGTTTCCTGGTATGGAAAATTATTATTCACTTCAAAATGCGCTTGCCCCTTTAATTTCAGATTTGCAATTTTTAAGTGAACACGGATTTTATGAGATTGGAGGACGACATTGGAATGTCAAACTATATTTTAGTTCAGACTGGAAATTTCTAGCCATATGCTTAGGAATGAATGCTGCAAATTCAAAATATTTTTGCCCGTGGTGTTATTGTAATAAGGAAAATTTAACTAATACCGTTGAATATAGCATAATTTCTAAGAGTATAGAAAATATTAAAGAATCTTATGATACACTTAATGGACACATTCGGCCCCCTCTTTTTAATATGATTCCAATTAAACATTGGGTATGCGATAGTCTACATGTTATGTTGAGAATAAGTGATCGACTCTGGGAGCTATTTTTATCAGATCTTCAGCGTGGTGAATTAAATGAAAATTCTCAGAACTTAATTTTAATTGAAATGAAAAGGTTGGGAGTTAATTTTCATTTTTGGACAGATCAACAAACACAAAGTTTAACGTATACATCATTAATGGGTCCCGATAAACTTAATATTTTGAAAAATTTTGATTTTACTAAATTTGTTTCAAGAGATTTTTCTAAAGAACGTGCTATCCAACTTCGTCAACTCTGGACTGGTTTTTTTGATTTATACAAGATGATGACATTACCAAATATAACAGGATCACAATTTAGAATCAAAGCAGAATTATGGTTAAAGTTATTTTTAACACCATCCAGAGGACAACCAAATCGATCTACTTTTAGCCGTGGCATGTATCGGGTAAATATATATAGTATCGGTATAGCTAAAGATGTGACCCGATTAATTTTTTTTATATAGAAAAAACTGGTTTTTTCTATAGATCGGGTCATATAACTGGCACCTTCCATTTGATACTGAGGTGTAACAAATCATTTGTAAGTATTTGGAATAAATATTTATTAGCCATAACAGGTGTTTTGTCATCCACTGTGCCAAATAGAAGGTGTAAACTTAATTCGTTTTTTGTTTTTAATTTTTATTTTATATAATGATATTGATAATTATATTTTACATAACAAAAAGGTAGTTGATGCTACGCCTTATATGCATGTGTTAGTATGTCACATTCACGAGTTGATTGATATTCATAATGAATTTGGAATAGATGCTTTTAATTGTTCAGCCATTGAAAAAAAGAATCATCTTCAAGTTTGTCGCTATTTTCAGTCTACGCTTAAAGATGGTGGTCATGAAAAGCATAGAAGATCATGCATTCTTGAATTATTAGAACATGAAAATCGAGAATTGTTTTTTCAACTTTTTGAGGTACCGAGCTATTTTAAAAAAACCAAATCATATAGATTAGATTAGTTTTTCGTATCTTACTTTTGAATTCTTTGACCGTTAGTTTTAATATGGCCTTTGGTACAGCTATAAGGATTTTTATAAAATTAGCCTTAGTTTTATTTTCATTTATTACATATGTGAATGCATAGAAATAGTCATTATCAAAATAAAATAATGATCAATATTAATACTTCGAAATAGTATTTAGTTGGATTTCAAATTAATTCATGTTCGACTTGGATTTTTACTAGCTAATAAACCAAAAATTCTAATTTAAAATTTACTGTATTTTATCGCCTAATAGATAAATTTTATTTTAATTATAAGTTTTATGAACTAGGTGTGTATAAAATTATGCTAATTAAACACAATTTATTGTAATACTCTATAGATTTAAAATAACCGAACTCATCTTTTTCAGTCAAGAATTTTCTAGTATTGATTAATCGCGATTACATACTATTGTACGAATACTTTACTGTGAAATATCCATTAATATTGGCTCAATTTTTTTTTACATACCTTCTATGGATGTAAAGACACCTGGATATAATGACTTGAATAAAATTTTTAAAATATTGGTGTAATAACATTTTGAATTTTTAATCTCTTGAACAGTATGAGAGTATTCACACATGATAAAGAGTAATATAAAAAAAGGTACACGGCATAATAAAATAAATAGCTAGAAAAAAAATATTATTGCCAACAATTTTTTAACTATCATCAATTTACTATACTAATTTAATTGTCTTCCGATTTTGATCATTATTTTATTCAAATACTACATTAATAACAGCATTAGGTAATTATGCTTTATCTACAGTTTGCTTAACTTGACTAATCAAATTATCCTATAGTAAACCAACTAAAAAGTAATAAGATTATATTTTGTTATATATATTAAAATACTATAATTAGATGGATCGCATAAATTAATATATACATACTTCAAACGACCTTTTTTGAGCTTCAGGAACCGACACCTTGGCAAATTTAAATTATTGTATAGGGTCTAATCTATCAAACGTCATATAAATGTTCCTTCTGTTATAAAATAACCAAAAACTAATTTAATGGTTATGTTTAATATATATCGTATTAGGAGGATCCTGACCGGATGGAGTATCAGAAGCGTTCAAACAAGCCTAAATCAAATTCTTCCTTCAGGCTTGGTAACAAAGGGTTGAAGTTTTGGAGTAGTAAAAATGTAA